TAGCAATCAATGGGGAGAACTTACCAGGAAGAAAAAAAAAAAAAGCAGACAGGCAGACACCTGACATTCCTAAGGCATGGAAGAGACCCAGATGCTCTAGGGGAGCTGGAGCTCAAAGAGTTTTTAGTTACTGCTCGGTGACATTTAAATACAATCTTTCATCCATACATGTAACTAACATTTATTGAGCACTGACTAGGTGTCTGGCATGGTACTGGGCTCTGGTGATACAAAGATGAATTGGGCAGGCTGCATGCAAGGTGTTCTCGGGGAGCTTGCTGTGAAGCGGGTGCACGAATGTGTCAGTACTCGAAGCAGAAGCACAAAGAGAGGAGCTGCCCATTTCTTAGCCAGCCGCCAGGTACTGTCAATGCCACTGAATGACAGAGAATCCAGGTCCGTGACCACCTCTCTGGTGTAGACCACGACCATCTCACACTGTCACTGAGACCAGCATGGTCTCCCGAGCTCCCGCCTACACCTCTCACCCCTTCTCTGAGCTACAACTAAAGGGGCAATCTACCACTTAGTCCTCCAAGGCTCCTCTCTGTCCTCACAACAAAGTCCAAACTCCTGAGCTGGGGCCCTCCCTGCAGGCCGATTCTGGGTCTTGACCACTGTGGAGTCCTAGCACAGGGCCAGGCTATGGGCAGACATTCATTCAGTCTTTGTTTGAATACATGAGGCCAGGGGCGGGGCGGGTCTTTACGCTACAGTGCAGCCTTGTGACATCATAATGCGGACCCCCTGCCCAGGAGACGGTCTTGGTCTATTTAAAGGATAACTAACCTCTTGACTGGATTTAATTAGAAATTCCTAACAGTGTTTATATGCTGATGAGAGCTATGATTTTAATGAAGCTAAGATTTCTAAAAATGTTATATATACATACTCTGGTTTCTCCTCAGATTGCATAAATCTTTCGCCTTTTACTAAAAAGTGTTCTATAATCATGACAATATGTAGAGACGGCTAATACCAAATTGGTGTGTTAGTCTTGTCTGTAGCGTAAGTCCAGCCACATTGGGGATTAAAATGGATGTGTAGTAAGGACTACAGGACAGTGTGGATTGGCCTTACTCTGTGACCTTGGGCAGTTTACGAAGCAGCTTTAAGCCACATCTAAAAAGGATCCCTGCACAGTTGGCCTAACGAGGTGGCTGTGAAGACCAGGCTGTACAAATCCTGAAGGGCTGGGCACACAGAGGGGCCATGCGGTGTCCAGAGAAAGCAGCTTCCCACTCTGGGAAGCCCCTGTCACACTCCTCTCCTGGTAGTGGCGAGAGTGTGCTCTGGGGTTACCTTTGCTGTGCTTATTCTTTCTCAAAGGGGGTCTGGGATGGACGAGGCAGAAGCCCAGCTCACCAGTCCCCACAGGCAGAGTCGGAGGGATGCGGGGACAGCCATTTTAGAAGCCCTTACATGAGGAGGGATGTTGGATTCGACGACCTCTAAGGTTCCGAGCAGGCACTCTCTGTGATTCTCTCCCTTTCCCTTGGCGGAACTCAGTTTTAAACAAAGACAAGGATTCTAGCAGAACTGGGCAACTTCAAGAAAATCCACTTCTGGAAACTCCCGGAAGCCAAGCCTTCAGACAGAGTACTTTTTCTTCCCCAAAATAAAAGTGCAAAAGAAAAACAGTACTGTTGTCCCTTCCTGCAAGAGGGCAAATAACCTAATCCCCTAGAAGTCACACACCCTCTGTCCCAGCTGCAACCCCAGACCCAGGAGGCTATACTCACTCCAGGAAGAGGCATATACAGCCTGGTACCTGCCTGGTGCCCAGAAACATGTGCTTTGCCCAGTGCCAATATGCAAACAATTTTTTAAACACCTCCTCAGAAGTTTACTTGGACCCAAGACATGCGGATCAACTGTTTATTTGGTCCCTGCTTTCTGAGTTCAGGCCTCTAATGGGAGGCATCCGTTCATCCATTCACTCAATGTTGTGAATTCTCTCTATGCCAGGCACTGTGCTAAGTGAGCAGATAGAGAAAATAAGGACACGTAGCTCTCGTTCTCGTGATTCACATCTCATGGGGCGGAACCATCAAGTAACCATGATTTCAATGCAACGCAGAAACGAGACAGCAGGGTTCGTGGCTAGTATGTGATTGTACTGAATAGTGTGGGAATTGTGTAAGAGGGGCATCAGCTGGGCCCAGGGGTGTTGGAGAAGGTTCTCTTGAGGTGGACTTGATTGAGTAGGAGTAAGCTAGGCAAAGGTGACTTGCAGGGAGCAGGGGAGGGGAAGGGCATTTCAAAGGGAACAGAATGAGCAGAGGCCTGGAAGTGATGGGGTGTGGCCAGGACTTGCAGCATTTCATCATCACTGGATCAAAAAATGTAAAACCAAAATTGATGGGCAGGGAGATGGCACAGAGACCAATCAGGGAGGTCCAGAGCTTAGAGACACTGCAGAGAGGAGGGGTGATATTGACACGTCAGAGCAATGAATGTTCAAGTTCCTTTCAGAGGCCAGCCTCCTGTTCAGCGCTGGCTCAGGCTCCTATTCCATTTTAAAAACCACCTAAAATTCTCTTTGTACTTTGATACAAAAAAAAAAAAAAACATGTTCCTTAGGCTGGTGATCTAACATCTGGTACACAGTTGGTGCTCAATCAATGGTGATCATGGCCCCCGCCAGGGAGTTGTTACTGACTACGCAATGTTCCCCTCAGATGCAGGGACCCATTCATTCATTCGAATAGTCATCTTTGTATGGTGAAAAATGACCTATCCCTACAGGTAACATCTGTACCACATTGTTCAAAGCGTTCTGTTCCCTGAGACCTGCCTCTTGATGGAGAGGCAGTCTGATTCTCTTAGGCTCTTTGCTTCGGAAGGAAAATGATTTTCAGCTGAACTTTACCCTATGGCAATTACAGAAAATAAATTAAAGTGTAAAAACAAGGAACGACTAGCAGATGGGGCAAAATGCCTAGTTACCAGCACCCTGCTCTGCAGGTCAGAGAAGCAGACCCTGCTCCTTGGAGTGTGAAATGACCACGCGCCTTCAAAAGCTGGGGAGAAGGCAGCTCCCCCTCAAGCCAGGGAGCATGCGCCCAGGCACCCATGAGCCCCCACTGTGCCAGGGAACCTCCATTGGGCTTCTAGACCTGCAGATGAGGACAGCGGGGCCGGGCCGGCTGGCGACTCCTGGAGAGGGCCTGGAGAAGTCAAAATAAAACGTATTGGTTTTCTGCCTGATTGTAAAAATATGTGCTCACGGAGGGAAATGTGGCAAATGGAGAACAAAGAGAAAGAAAAAGTAATCTAGAGTTCTGCACCTTGACATTATATTCCTGTTCACCCTGTGGATAAACTGCCCACCAGAGTGTCAGCTCACACTGCAGTGCCGGCCTGTCCCCGGCTGTGCCCCTGGTACATGGGCGATGGACACACACAGGGAGTCATATGGGTCCTGTTTCCACTGACCCCTGTCCAAATGGCTGTCTCAGTATCTCTTCATCCCTCCCCTCAGCTCCAAGGCCAGTCCTTAGAGACGTCTCCTGACCCCTATGCCCAACCCACTTACTTACCCTACTCCAACTTCATTTTCCGGGGAACTTACTTGCAAGTGCAATTGTCTTGTTTGTTGGCTGTCCATCCCCACTCCCCCCAGTAATCTACCTGAGGGTAGACCCCTTTGCCTTAGAGCAAGGGCCTAGGCTGGCTCACCAGGGTGGGCCCCCATACAGTTGTTATTGAGGGAGGAGGTCATCCATCCAGGTTGCCAGTATTTCAGTAGAATTAACACAGCAGTGATGGATACAGCCCATGTTTAAATGCTCAGTGAAGCCTGCCCCCGCCCCCCCAATATCCCATATATAAACCATTGTGTGTGCGTGTGTGCGCATGCGCTTGCTTCGGACAGGGTCGCAGTGCTGAGCCGGAGGCTGGAACCTCATGCCCCCAACTCATTCCTCATCTCTGGGCAAATTTCACTACTCCAGAGGGTCACTTTCCCCCAGTTTGTAAAACCAATAAAGAACTCCGCCTGAAGTATGTTGTGAGCCCCAGACAAGATTAGATCCTGGAACTCGAGTTAAAAGCAGCACAAACACACAAGCAGAAAGGCCCACACTCGTTTTCAGGAAAGCCCCAGGGAGGATCACTTGGAGATTCGGCGGCCCAGGACTGCACGGGGTACCCTAGCTCCCTGAGTCCTCTGCTCCTCCCTCCTTCCCAGAGGCCATGTCTGAACTGGATCCCCGCAGAAAGGTTCCCACTATCCAAACCTAGGAAAGAGGTTTTTGCCATGCTCCCCCGCCCCTTCCTAATTTGGAGCCAGAGAGCCTCCCCCTACTCTATTCCCACACTCCTTCGCCCCCTACCCAGACTCTGGCCTCTCCCCGAGGTGCCCTAGGCGGATGGGCACGGCTCATCCCCTCCCCTCCGCAGGGGGCTGCCTCTTCTAATTGCGCGGGGGCAGGGGACCAGCCTCAAAGAATGTGTGTGTAGGAGGGGGTCGGGTCATCCCCGGGACGGGGCAGGAGGGGCCGCGCTGGGGGCTGGGGTGGGAGGAGGCGGCCCTTTTCCACCAGGTCCTAGGACTCGCGGGCTCACCCCGCGGTTGCGTCACCCGGCCCACCGCCCCCTGAGACATCACAATCTAGGGGCCGGGACCCCTCGCCTCATCACCGCCAGTCTGCAACCAAACAATCCACCCAACAAACACCCGGGGGGGAAAGGAAACCCACCAGAGTCCAGCCTCCCTCTCCGCCCCTCCCCTCGCCCCCCGGGGCCCCCGCCCCCAGATGGGGGAGTGAGCGCAAGCCAGGGCGCCCCGCACCCGCCGCCCCGCGCCCGCCAGCTGCCCTCCCGCGGCGGGGGCGGCCCAAACGCGCCCGCCCCGCCCGAGCCCCGCCCGCGCCCGCCGCTGCTCCTGCTCCGCGGCGCCCTCGCCGGGTGCGTGCCGCTCGCGCGCCCGCCCGCCAGGCTCCCCGCGCCCGCCGCCCGCGCCCGGCCCGGCGCCCCGGCCCTCCCGCCCGCGCTTCATGGCTGCTCCGGAATGGGACTGGTTCCAACGCGAGGAGCTCATCGGACAGATCAGCGACATCCGAGTCCAGAACCTGCAAGGTAACGCGCCCAGCCCCCCGGGAGGGGGACGCCGGATTGGGGTCGCTCCGGGGGCCGCTCCCACACTGGGCAACTGCGACCCGCCGCCCCCTGCCCGGTCCTGACCCGATTTCTGCCCCTACTGGGAAGCGGGGGGTTGAGGCACCCGCCCCCAAACCCCAGCACCGCTGGCTCCGGGGGTGGGGCGACACACGTGTGTGTGTTTGTTTGGGGGGGGGGTCCCATTTTTTTCTGCGAGACGTCACGACTCCCCTCCAGCCACAGAGCGAGTTTGGAGAAGTTTGGAGTGGGCTCTGGGGGGCGGTGGCCCAGGTCACGGAGGGGAGGAGAAAGTGCGATTACGTGTGCCTGTGTGTGAATTCGCACACTTCCCAAGTACCTCCGAGGCGGGGGGATCGAGTGGGGGGCGCCGCAGCGGGCGGGCTGGGGAGGAGGGGGCCGGCGGCTCGATCTGTGAGTTCAGAAGGCACCCAGCCCAGGCCGGCCACTTTCCTCCAGCAGCTGCCCCTTCCCTGGCCCCCGGCTCAACTGGGGAGAGGGGAGAGGCCCCGCCCACTGGGGCGCCGGCGCGGGGACCAGCGTCTACCTTGAAACAAGGTGAAAGAGAAACTAGTGTGGCCAGCGCCTCTGACAAGGGCTAGGGGTGGCTCTCGCCACCAATGAAGTGTTCATCTTTCAAAGGAGTTTATTCATTGTGGAAACTTAGTACAAAAATATTTCAAGGGAAAAAGGCACCTACACTCACCTCCTTACCCACCCACCCACCCACCGTGCAAAGCTGCTTTTCCCGGAGGTGTATTTCGGTCCTCTCTCTTTTTCTTTTGTGAACTTTGCAAAACTGGACAGAGTTCCACTTCCGGCCTCTCTTCGTTCACAGGGATCTGGGCAGGGGAAGTTTCTTCAGCAGTGTCCCCTGCAGACTTGGGTTTCTGGAGATCCCAAGGCTGGGGGTGGCTCAGAGAGTTGGGAGGCCTGGACATAGAGGTGAAGGGGCACTTGTTGCCCCTGCCCCCAGCTGTTGTCATGATTTACCGCAAGGGGAGGGGGCAGGGAGCCCCAGCAGGCAGTGTGCAGTCCAAGAGGTGGAGAAGTAAAGTTTAAACATTATACCCCATGGAATGTTTCCTGGGAGCCCACGTGGATCTGCTCCACCCCTGGGTTGGGCAAGGACAGTGCAGGCAGAGGTGACCTGAAGTGGAGGGAGAGCCTACTGCAGTGGCTCCTGGGAAACTGAGTTTGCTCTGGGCGCCCCTGATCTCTTCTGGCTGTGATTTGTGTAAGAGGAGGATGGGCTGGAGATGTTGAAATGATCCCTTTAGATAAGAAGTCTCATGCCTGGATCCTGTTGCCTGAGAACTGACAACCTATTTGGGGGTTGGCGTTAGTATCTTTTGCTGAGATGGCATCTGGTTTGGGCTGTCCGTGTGTGTGTGTGTGTGTGTGTGTGTGTGTGTGTGTAGGGGGGCAATTAATGGGTGTTTAATAAACACATTCCAACCAATTCTTGGTGCAACTTCCTGCGCTCCTCTAGGATCAGCTCCCAGTGTAAAGGAGATCAACTTTGTGAAGGAATGTTTAGCAATGTGAGCAGTTAGTTACACCTAGAACTGTGAGAGAAGGCTTTGCCAAATGAGGATAATTTGATATGGGTCTTGAAGGTTGGATAGGAGTTCACTAAGTAGGCTCCTGTCTCTTAGCTCCCAGTGAACTGTCCTCACTTTGAGGCAATGCCAGTTACAATTTGAGCATCAAAAGCTTTGCCGTTAAAAAAATAAACTTTTAAATTTATGTATATATGTCACATATATCTTATATATGATTACATATATTTCTATAAAATGCATTAATCTTAAGGATGAGCTCAACAAATTTTGACATATGGATATACCATCACCTAGATCAAGATGCAGAAGATTTTCATACCTTGGATGGGTACCTCATCTCCCTCCCCAGTCAGTAACGATCCCCAATACACACACAAGGCAGCCACTATTCTGATTTTGATTACTATTGTTTTGCCTCTAGAACTTCATATTACATTGAACAGTATGTATGTATGTATGTATTTATTTATTTATTTTTGGTACGTGCCCCTAGCAGGAACCGAACCCAGGACTCTGTGGTCCGCAGGCTGATGCTCCAACTTGCTGAGCCAAACTGGCCAGGGCCAGTATGTACTCTTTTAAACTGGCCTTTTTTACTCCACATTATGTTGGAGCAATTGATCTATGTCCTTGCTTGTTTAGTACTTTATGGGGGGAGGGGATTATAAAACTACTGAGGTATAATTTACATATAAAATTCACCTGTTTTAAGAGTTGTGCAAACATCACAACAATCCAGTTTGGGAACCTTTTCATCACCTGCAGAAGACCCCTCGTGCCCGGCACATGTATCAGCCTCCGCTCCCAGTCCCGGACCAGGCAGTGCCTCGTTCCTTCTTACTGTGGAGGACCATCTGTGGCATGCACGCACCACGGTTGATCTGTTCATCAGAGAGGGGCATTCGGGTTGTTTGCAGTTTGGGCTGTTGTGAGTGAAAAGCTGTTGGTCCTGGGGGACACCAGGACTTGCAGAGTTGCCGGCTCTGGCTTTGCTGCTCTGATTCGCTGGGAAGAGGCTGGGAGAGGTGGTGGCGGCAGGATCTGTCTTCCCTCTACCTCCATTTTCCCCTTGGCTTCCCTGTCTCTTGACTAGACACTTAACAGATGTTTTCTCTCCTTGTCTCTGTGGTACTCAGGAAGTCCCAACCAAAGGGCCAAGTCCAGAAGGCACTCCATGCCATGCTTAGAGCATCTGCCCAAACCAGCTCTTGCGTGTCAGCAGCTCTGGACCGTCTGGATGATCAGCTCTGCGGGCCATGGGCGGGGGCCTCATTCATCTGAACTCGGTGTGGGTGGTAGTCAGGGGAGCCAGGCGGAGTCCAGGCAGAAAGGTTGTGTTTTAAGCCGTGTGCTTTACTTCAAGCACAGGTAGTCGTAGTTGTCGTGGTGATGCGAGGGTTGGGAACAGAGGGATCTCATGAATCGGTAATCATAGGGACCAAGGAGGAGCCCCAGCCTCCAGGTGCAGGCAGTGGCTTCTGTCTTGGTCAGACAGGCCTGATTCTTTAAGAAAGCTGCTCTCATGGTCCTGGGACCAGGTGCTTCCCGGGGCAGCGTCAGAACACTGCATCTCAGGGAAATTCAGTAACATAGCTATGTCTTTACATCTTTCTCTGTATCTATATGTATACATTAACTTGGAGATATGCTGGCCTCTGCTCAGTCACTCATCGGAAGCTTTTTCTACGGCCCTGGACTGTGGAATTCTAGAATCCATACGGATACCACTGTGACCTCACCAGATCGTCCCCCAGGGAGTGTTGGAATGAAGACTTCCTGGCCTGTGCGAGGTCGGGTGAGCCTGGCAGAGAGCTTGGCCTCTCCCAGGAGGCGTGTCACACCCTCGCGGTACTAACACGTGGGCAGATGAAGTCCCTGTTGATATGTGCACTTCGGTTGCTCATAAAAATGGTTGTAGCCCTGGCTGGTTTGGCTCGGTGGTTGGAGCGTCGGCCTGCGGTCCAGAGAGACCCGGGTTCGGTTCCCGCTAAGGGCATGTACCTCGGTTGCAGTTTGTCCCCAGCCCTGATTGGGTCGTGCGGGAGGCAGCTACTTGATGTGTCCCTTTCACATCGATGTTTCTCTCTCTCTCTATCCCTCCCACTCTATCTGAACAAAGTATGGAGAAGTGTCCTCGGGTGAGCATAAATAAATAAATAAATAAATAAATAAATAGTTGTAAATGACCGACTCTGGCAGAGTGCATTGGATGTCCCTCTGGCCAGAAACTGCTGTGCCACCCTCAGAGTGTCCCTTGCAAGGAAACGGGGGTGGCCCAAGCTGTTAACCTTTTCAGAGAGAAGAAAACAGAATTGTAGGGTGCGGGCAGCCTCCATCTGGTGGCCCTCGCGTCCCTGGAGCCCCTGGGGTAGAATTGAGGACAGAAGCTGTTGGTTAATGGCTCTGTGCTGTAGGTGGCAAGATAGCTCCTTTCTGATGACAGAGCACTTTGGCTGTCTCCTCTTCCTCTTTGACTTGACTTTAGGGTCCCCTGAATGCTCCACTAGTTCTGGGGTCACTTGGTCAAAGGGTGGTGTCCGGCCAGGGTTTGGAAGACGCTCCCGTTCCTGAAGAAAGCCCCCGCTACCCCCAGAATGCACAGTCCTCCTTGTTCACTCCAGCAAACGTGGGCTAAGCATAGCGCATCCTGCAGACATCAGCGAATGCAGAGTTGGTTCTTTCCCTGCCTTGGAGGAGCGAGGAGCCATCGTGGGCACGCAGCCAGGCTGGGGCTTGAATTTGCTGCTGCTGGCAGTGCAGGTGGCAGTTCAGTTTGGGGCTGTCTCCTGTTGCCCTGGCGCCTGTTGGGTCTGGTGCTGTGAACCTTGACCTCACTGTCCGGGAGCACCCAGAGCTGGAGCGATGGAGTTAGGTGGGGCTAGGCAGACATAAGGCTGCTCCCTCTGCCACTCTGGGGGGGTCTGGGGGTGTCCACCACTGCCAGCTGAGCCCTGCTGGCTGGTGCTCCCCGAGCAGCCTCCCCACTCCTGCCTCAGTGTCTCCTTTAGACTTTGTTAGGAAGCAGTACCGCCCAGGGTTAGCCAGCAGGAACTGTTTTGGGGTGCATGGAACTGACTGTCAAGCTGAGGTGGTAGCAGTTCACCTGTCGAGAGCAGCCTGGGTACCGGTGCTGATTGCTTCTTTTAATGTTGTCCACCTGCCTTTGAGGTCGGGCTCGTTGCAGAGTGGAGAGGTGAAATGACCTGCCCAAGGTCATGGCCTGGCCAGTGGGGCGGGATCTGAAGCCAGGTCCGACTGAGCCCGTGCATCCTGGCGCACCCGCGCTGTGAGTCACGTCAAGCGGCTGGAAGCTTGGTGGCGGGGAGCTGGGACGGCCTCTCAGAGGGAGGCCGTAAGGGTCAGATCTTGAGGGCCGAGCGGGAACCTGACTGCACG